CTTAAACGAAATCTGTATTTCTATAAATTATTTTTTACGTTTTACTTCACACTGTAATAAAAGCGAGTTTTTAGTTTTTTAAACTATAATTTTATTTTCGTTTTTTAGTCTTGAATTCAATTGATTTTAAAGCTATTATTATAACGAATACTAGAATAACACACGAAATCAATTTTTGGAATTCCCATTCGTACTGTCATTAGGTATGTAACTGGATATTGGAAATTGCTCCATCCTTTAGGCGCACCATTATTTATTACATAGTTACATCCCAAGCTAATAAAAGCGAGAAAAAAAAAACGTTTTGTTTCTCAACATAGTCGCCTTTTAGATCGATACATTTAGTCCAGCGTTTTTCCAACTCTTGTATTGCTTCCAAACATGTCATAGATTTTTCAAGGTCTTCAATAGTTGCGTTCCAGATGCTTCACGATTTGCAGGAAGTCGTTCCAGGTGACCACCTCCCATAAGGTTTATTAATGGAGAAAACAGCTGTTACTGCAAATCGTGAATTTCGTGAATATCGTGAAGCATCTGGAACGCAACTAATATAAGCGGTTGTTTAAGTGATGAACTCTTCGTTCGACCCAAATCTCTCACCACCCAGTTATTTTTTTTTTGAGTTTGGAAACAGGAACTAGTCGCTGGGGTCTAAATTTGGAGAACATTGTGAGTGCGGTAAGAAATCGTAGCTCAATTGGTGGATTTTTCTCTATGGTGACTGCACACATGTGCACCCGTGTATTGTCTTGATGGAACAGCGCTTTTTTCTTGGCAAAATTTGGTATAGAATCTGTCAAAAATAGTCCCACAGATGACGAACCCTACGTTTCGGCACGAATCCAAATTTCGTACACAAAGATACACTTAGCATAACTTTATTAATTCAAATTCGATGAGAAAAAGTTCTTACAGGGTGAATTATTTGCTTTTTTGATAAACTGTTCCCGGTCGCAGCCGCTCCCACATTCTCTCACACTTTTGCGCTCTCTCAGTTAGCCCGCATACATATACTGAGGGTGTCGCGTATTAGTCAGCCATGGCTTCAATGTGTTTTAAGCCGGGCTAAGGTAAAAACAGGTAAAACCTCAAAAAAATGGTGAGTAAAGCAACTCGCAGAGGAATGTGAAAATAAATATAAGCGAATTAAAAAAAATGTACGTTACGATCATAACGGGAGCTAAACATCGATCTCTTTTCTGTGCATACAAGTTAAAGGTTTACCGTGGCACGTAAACAGAATAATATGAAAGTAACAACGATAGTAAGCACCAAAAGCAGCCAGTTAAACACAGTTTTTGCTTTTCAATTCGCCTTTGTCGCTGTGAAACGTTGTCGCTTGTGAGACAAGTAAGTCAGTAAACAAGTGAGCACCGTCTAGTCAATTCGATTACTACATAGCTGTGTGTTTAAATGGAACGTTACTGATTGCTGCTGCTCGCTGGAGATCGTACAATAGTGGACAATGAAGCAGAACACTTGGCGAATGCATGCCATGTACATCGAACGCGAATTTCAGTAGTAAAATATAATAGAGAAAAACGGCGTTGGAGAAAATTCAAAACATAATTCAAAAGTCTAATAAAAGTAGTACAAAATTTAATTAGTGCGCCAACGGTAGAATAAAGCTTAGGCATAATCGAATTTGATAAAAGTAAAAAACCTTATTGACCGAGGGTGGCACCCTGAACGCCAAGCGAACGGAGCATTTAATTAGTCAGAATTTAGCAGCGGTGGCGGCAGCAGCATCAAAAATGTTAACATTATTGCTGGAACAATATCAAAGAACGGTACGGTTACAGCGAGGAGAAAATACAGTTTATAATAGCGACCACCGCCCAGGTAACGCATATAGCCACACCTGGCGTAGCTGCAACGATAAAAGCAACACCACCAACAACAACAGCAGCAATAGTAGGTTGACGCACTTGTTTACTTATCGTTCTGGCCGCATGTTGCACTTGGCATTGTTTTATTTCGCCACAATCTTAACGCTGGCAAGCGCACAAACACCAGAGCAATTGCAAATTGTGCCGATCGCTGGTGAGTCAACGTTTTTCTACGTTGGTTGCTATACTGCACGCACCGATCTCCTGCAGGAATCCATCTATTCGAAGACACCACAGACTTGTGTCGAGATATGCGAGCATCAAAAATTCAGCTATGCTATCTTGTCAGCGGAGCGTTGCTTCTGCACGAACAATGTTCTTTCGAAGGAACGTCAGGATGATAAACTCTGTAACACGCGGTGTTTGGCTAACAAGTCGCAGTATTGTGGTGGCGTTGGTGTGCACAGCTATTATTCAACAATATGGGCCACACAGACGGCACCGCGCAATTTACGCGTGGCAAACGCAACCGAAAACACCATCACAATTGCTTGGGACATGCACGTGTCCCCTAGTAAAGCGTTCGTAGCTGCTGCCGAGGAGGCGGCAATCAAGTCGATGAAAGAGATTACGAATTTCCTCATACGTACACACATACTTCATACATACTCGACACTGCCCTTCTTTCCGCAACCTGAATTCATTGTGCAAGCCATGGAGACAAGCATCGAAATTACTGACCTACATCCGGCCACTGAATACAACATTACAGTTGAGGCAATGTGCGAGCAGGAGGTGTGTGGCAATGACTCTTTACTGGCAAGCACCGAAGTTGGCGTGCCGAGTCCGCCTCCATCGCAGCCCCGAGTGATACGCACAACTGACTCTACTATGACTATAGAAATTAAGCCTTTGCGGAATGATAACGGCCCGATAACTAAGGTTGTGGTAATTGTCGAACGTTTAGATGACTCGTTGAGTCAAACCTTCGATACCGAGCTTTTGGGCAGCTGGCCGAAGGCGCAAGAAGATGGATTACCATATTATATAGCAGCGCAGTTGGATTACGATGGGCCAGAGGATAACAGCATACGTCAATTTATTGTGGGCGACGGCAAACGTTACGGTCCTTATATAAATGTGCCCCTAAACACCACCGGTGCCGATATACATCTTAGTTTGGGCGTGGTAAGTTGGGATCTAGTTATGAGTGCTCATATAACTACAAATGCACATAGCGGACACATTTTTCAAAAGTATTTTAACTCGAAATTTGCCATTTGGGATGTTTTTTTACTAAAAATGGTACACTTGACTTCCAGCAATAGTTGAAGCAATATTTACATATCTGCTAAGAAATACATAGTTTTTTTGCTTTAACTGACAGCCGGGACATTTTAATTAATAAATTTTTCAAGAACGTGGCGGATATGTGCATACATACATATGACTTTTTACATAACCACATAAGTATATGTACGTATGCTTGTAGTTTATGTAAATATTTTCTTTTTGCAGATCAGCACATTAAACGGTGTCACCAAGACCCTGTATACCCGTGGCTCGCACGATCAGCACTCAATCACATTGGAAAATTTCACCTATGCCACTTTTGAGCCGGGCCGCGCTTCGATTATTGCGCTGGCCGTCACCTGCACTGTGTTTGCCATTTGTTTTGTACTCAGCGTGTTCACTTATTTTTATCTGCGCTACAAGACCTGCCAGGCGCGCGGCGCAATGAATCGTAATGCCCACGAAATGACCATGCAACAACCGATTATAGAGCGCGAGAACAATGGGTTCATGATGGAGGATGAGCTGCCCCCTGCTGAGAACTTCCGCCAGCAGCTCGATGTACTCATCTCGGCGTTAGACGCGAGTCAGCGACTACCTCGCAATGCGCTGCGCATGAATGTCAGTGATGTTATTGCGGAGGGCCGTTACGGAGAGGTGATTACGGGCAAATTCATTTCTACGGCACTGCCGGAAGCCAGCGCTGACTGCCAGTTGCATGTGCTCGCTTTAGACGACTTGCAGGGCAAAGAGCAAGCACATCTACTGCGCGACTTCTGCAATCTTTCTAGGTTGCAGCGGCACGAGCATTTGCTTGACTTCTACGGCATTTCGGCTAGCTCCGATTGGTTCTATTTAGTGTTTGATCATCAAAATGTAAGTCTAAAACGTCGTCTTATCGAGAGCCGACGTGTACCTAGCTCGGCGCCCATGCAACGAATCACGGCACTCTCCGAAGAGCTAGTGCTACAGTGGATCTACGAGATAGCCAGTGCGCTTGAGTATATTAGCAGTTGTAAAGTGGTACACAAGCAATTGTGCTCACATAATATTTTCGTCACAGCTGATGCTAAATTAAAGGTGTCCCTATTCGGTCCAATACCGTTTGTGCAAAACCAAAAGAAAATCGACATTACCCGCTGGTTGGCACCGGAAGCCTTACGCTATCAACATTTTTCCGTCAAATCGGACGTATGGTCATTTGCCTGCGTCGCCTGGGAGTGTTGTACGTTGGGCGGTACGCTATATGCGAATATAACGAACACGCAACAGCTGCTCGAAGCAATTAAGAGCGGTTCGCGGCCGGCACAACCGACTTTCGTCTTTCAGGATTTGTACCAACTGCTGCTGAACTGCTGGCAGCTAGAGCCAAGTGAGCGTATCAATTTCGATGAGATCGCGTATAATGTGCGTCAGTTGATGACGTCACCGCGCCATGCGCTATGCTTTGATCGATCGGCGGAGACGTCCGACAACAGCGTACTCGACACATTGCCATACTACATGCCAATGCTGGAAATGCACAACTAGGAAATATTGATGTAGAAAAAGGTGTGTGTACATACTTACATATGTATATAGAAAGTACGATAATATCCCAGATAGGCAACACTTTAGTGTAAGATATGTCTATAGCCTTCGTGTTACGACAAGCTGACAACAATGAACACAAAATCAAAAAATCTGGTTCTCAACTAAGACTAAACTCTCCTGTTCAATTATGTAGTTAGTTTCTCTGGTTATTACAAAAACCAAACTTCAAAATACTTTTAGGTTTATTAGCGTCTAATTTAGCTCTTTACAAACATAACTTGTATATTTAAGTACCATTTCAGCTGCAATTAAGATATGCCAGTGTTCCCATTTGTAAAAATTTTGATGAAATATTTTTAAATATTTATTTTTAATGTAAAACGAAATATACAAGCAGACGATAAAAAATATGTATACAAAAAACCTTTCATTTTGGGATTATTTTGCGGGACCTTTCAAAAATTTCCGGACACTTTCAAATATTGACTTTCCTAATTACAAAAATGCCAAATTTTGAGTTGTGTCACTTTTGAAGATCATGTGCGATATGTACTACATTAGGGGGCTCAAAAATACACACGAAAGTCCACTTTTCCGAGTTTTCTTGCAACCTCAAAATTTTTGAAAATCGAAAGTAAGGAGAAACGTATTTCTTTATTTGGAAATCGGTTGATATTTAACCGCGCCGCCGGGGCTTTTAAGTTTCCCCTATCGACTATACTACGTTATACATATATATGAATGTATGTATGTACGCACATTAGGGTGGTACGAAAACAGTAAAGTCGGAATTGTAATGCTCTCACCCCCTAGGATTGTTCTATATCGAAAAAAAGTATACCCTTATTTTTTTATTTTGAAATCAAAAAAATATTTAGAGGTCGCTCAAAGCGCTCAAAGTTTTCCATGTATTTTTCTATGGGGAAAAACTACTTTTCTTTAGAAATGGTATATAATTCTTGAAAATCAATATCTTTCGATCGGAAAACTCTGGTTCTCTTCAGGAGACTTTCAATAATAATACCCAATTAGTTATTTAACCATTTTTTAATACTAACATTTTAATACACTATTGGTCCCCTTTTGCATTTTGCGAGGTTTTGGTGGGTTTTTGGCGGACCTATAAATTACAGTTGCAATGAAAAAAATGGTTAAATAAACAATTGGGTATTATTACTGGGAGTCTTCTAAAGATAAACCGAGTTTTCCGATAGAAAAATATTGGTTTTCAAGAATTCTATACCATTTCTATGAAAAGTTGTTTTTTCCCCTATATAAATACATGGAAAACTTTGGGTGCTTTGAGCGACCTCTAAATATTTTTGGATTTTAAAAGAAAAAAAATAAGGGTATATTTTTTCGGTATAGAACAATCCTAGGGGTGAGAGCATAAAACTTCCGACTTTACTTCTTCACATGCTTTTTTTGGACCACCCTAATGTACATACATCAAAAGATTGAAAATTTTATTAGCAACTAGCTAATACCCGGCGCGCTTCACTGCGCCTTAAAAGTATTTTTGTGTTATTTTATCAATTTAATACAATTTTTAAAACTCCTCAAAAATATTTTCGGCAGCAAACTTTCCTAAACCTTCTTAGTTTTATACCTATATTGCAATATTTAATTTATCTTATCAATTAAATTAAATTTAAATTTTCAAACATGTGGCAACCTCCACATAAATATTTTCGGCTGTAAGCCTTCTTCAATTTACTTTATCTTATCAATTTACTTAAATTGCAATTTTCTTTTTTCCTATATTTTAGGTTAGATCTCTACCAATACATCGGTTAAAACTGTTCAATTTCTTGCAATAGTTTTCGAGTGATGATATGGGGAAAATACATTTATTCTTGGAATTGCTACAAAATCGTTAAATATGTAAAAAAAAATATCTTTTTTTTTACGGATAGAAATATATATATAATTGTAATGCCAATTTAATGTTAAAATTTTCCTAATAATTTTTTTAACATTTTACTAAAAAATATCTACAAGTGCAGTCAGCAAACACTACATTACAAATGTATAAAACAAAAGAAAGGGAAAACCGCGCAATCGTACTTCAAAATTGGCACTTGAATTCAAAAAAAAATCGCAGTGGCGGAACGATAAAAGAAAATTCCAGGGAATTTTTAGTTTACATTTAAATTCATAAATTTTATAAATTAAATTATAGAAATGTCGCACTGACGCCTTTTTTGTGAAAATGAGATTAATTAAATCAATATCTATACATGTGAATTTTGGTGCCGCAGATGATTTGCACAAATTTTAACTAAAAAGCTTGTAATTCTAATAAAACTTTGCATTTATATATGTAGTTTTATTAGCAGAGTGCACTTTTCTTTTGTTTACAATTTGGTTGTCAAACACAATACAGCTGATCGTTTGACACATTTACCAGTAAAAAATCTTCGGACTAAAATTGGTAACTTCTGACAGACAGATGACTCTCTCTCTCTTTTGTCCTCTCAATTGTCAGAGAACCGAGTACGGCATCGATTTCCAATAAAATCTGACTAATTCTGAGTCGGACGAGATCACTACTAATATTTTGAGTACATGAACTTATTTTGCTCGTGTTTATGCAAGCAGCATTTGACATTTATTGCGCCAAAACGCGCCGCATTAAAAAATTCTCCCTTCCCTCTCTCGCCTAAAACAGCGGTGTCATGCAGCATGGTGACATTGTAGTTTTGGCCAATTTTCTTATTTTAAATTGTTATGTTTTGACTCTACAAAGGAAGGAATTTGAGAAAAAAGAGAAATCTTTAAGTCATGAGTAAGCAACTTCTTCCGCATTTTACATTCGTTCAAATTCAAAAAATATTTTGAAGACAATCACACAAGGGAATTCATATGAATTCGCCTTGCAAGCACACATTCGAAAATCAATATGGTCGACTGTTTAGAGTTAGGACTAAACAATTTTTACGAAAAACACAAACTAAACAATTTTCGTTTCGCAGCAGACTCTAGAAAATTTGAGATGAACTCAAAATTTTCGCTTTAGACTTGATAAAATTATGATGAAAGAAATATGCATAACTGCCTTCAAAATCATTAATTTAAAATTGTATTTTAGAAGTCCGAGAGAGGTAATAATCAACGGAAGTGAAGTATAAAAAGCCAAAACAAATTTTACAGTTCAGTTCTTTTCCGAAACTTTAGGAGTTGTCCTTAAAAACGTCGGTTCATTGTCGAATATAATATAGAATTAGAATATTTTGTACCTCGAATGAAGTTAGAACCCGCTTTCATGCCGACCAGTATCTCAGTTAAGCAATTCTAACCTTATGAAAATTGTGCATTTATTATTTAAGAAACAAGAATAAATCTTTGGACTATTTCACAGCAGGCTATAGAATTTTTCTTTCCGCCCGAAATATGCAAGAGTCCGAACACTGGCTCTGATGTTGCAAATTACAAGAACTATTTTTAGAAAGAATTTGAATGTATACAATAATTACAACGTCTTATTAATAAAATTGTGTAGCTTATTGATATCTTAGACACGCACACAAAAGGTTGATACCGAGACACACATGCAGAAAACAGCTTTGGCGAAATTATCGTCGTAAATGCAAAAGGCCCCACAAAAAAAAAATGTTATTTTACCCTCTAAAATTAGCATATGGCATGATTTAAAGACAGTCCGTTTAAGGATAGGCTAATGAATTTTGAAACATGAAATCTTTTGCATTAATTTCAACTGGTCCCGCTCGAATACAATTACTTAAAAGTACGCGAACGAAAAATTTGCAGGTTTAAAGTACATCTAAAAGAGTAAAACCGAAATTATGTATAATAATATTGAAAATTGAAAGTTTGCCTTTATAAATTTGTATGTATGTATTTCAAAAATGGTAGTATTTAGCAACAAAAGTGGCATAACAATTTTTGAAGATAATTGCATGATCTTGAATAATTTTTTTTGCAGATGTGGGATCGATGTGGGCTTTTTACATTTCTCGTATAATGGTAGTCCCAACATTCGTACCAATTTTCAGCCCTAGGCGAATTATTGTAGGTTTACGCCCATTTATTAAGTTACAAAAATTTAACAAACTTTCGTAAAAATTTCGAGCATTTTAATTTGATTTTCTAGAAAAAAATTACCACAACTCAAAGATAAGTCCCAGCTCCTTCAAACTGGCACTAAAATTGAATGGGCTACAAAACTGTATACTCAAAATATTTCTAAGAAATCTAATTAAAAAGCTCGAAATTTTTACGATGGTTTGTTGGTTTTTTTAATATTGCACAAAGATCGAGACTCAGATTTATACGGTATTTGTTAAATAATGAACTCTATTTTTATAAAAAATAATAATAAAATAAGTAGTCAAATCTTGTCAGTATGTGAGTGTCGTATAGTTATGGTGAGTACTGTACCTATTATGTATAGAAGAAAATGCGTTATACTGTCAGCAAAAAATATTAACAAAAATCAACGGAATTTTTTAGTAACTTCAAACTTGCACTTATACGAATGAGCTACAAAAATGCATACACATGAGTTAGGCCCTTTCTATTTTGAAAAAAAAAAAAGAAACGGTTGATTTTTTTTTAAACAGTCTTATGTGCATTACGGCGGGTCTATTTGTTTTGACTATAAGTGTATAGCAAGCAGGATGCTACGTGTAATTTTAAGCAAATTTGCCAAAGAAATCTTGGGTCTAAAATCAATTTGGAGTTTGCCAAATTGCGAAAATCGATTTCGAAGAAAATGGAAAAAATTTTCACTTCCGCGCCCTCTGGTGGAAGTCATGCCAAAAAAAACGCTTATAGCATGTTTTTGTCCAAAATTTAAGCACTTCTATACGACACTACAGCAAAATGATAAGAAACCTATTTTCGCAATTTGGCGAAACTCCAAATTTATTTTAGACCCATGGTATCTTCGGCAAATTTTCTTAGAATTATTAAAATTGACCCGTCCTAATCTGCATATACATATGAATACTTGCACAAGAACGTATGCTTACAATACGTGTGAATGGGAATGGTAATACGAAAACGATGTACGTATGTACATATG